TGCCATGTTTACTCATTCAGATGAATTTGTTGAGCCTCACGTTTTTATTTTCAATTGGAAACTTAAAATAATTTTCAACGTTCAGAGGCAACATTTAGATATGACGCTGACAGAGAATTCATTTAGCAAAACCGCCAGGGTAAAGATCATTCCTTTCGGTATACGTGACTTGTTAGACAAAGCCATGTCATGTTTGCAAACCATGTTTGCCATTCAGGAGCTTTTTATTGACCACGTGTTTTTTGTTGACCAATGCGATGCACTTATATCCATTTCCAATTTGCAATTAACAACATCCAAGCATGATGTCATATCAAACGAGTCTCAACAAGACAGCGCGTTAGCGAGAGTCTTTTCGAAAAGAAAGGAAAGCGCCTTTACTATTAGAAAGGTAAGCAGTTATAGCTACTTAACAAAAATGCACGTCATTTGTCGATCGGCTTCGAGAACTTGCGCAAAACGTGCCCTATAACGTACTTTTTAAAATTCATTTTGTCTGGAAACTCCTCTGGCTTCAATAGTTTACCGATGCATTGAATCAATCGCCAAGTTTTGTTTAAGTTCAAATTTTTCCTTCAAAATGGAAAAACAATTACTTTGACTCCTTGCAATCCTGACCGCAGGAAATATAATGTTCGAAATAAGCAGCACGATTGGCAATTTTTTATTAAAACAGTAGCTATAGGTATATACGATATAAATACACGCAACCAGCTCAAAATTTCAAATCTCGATGAAGTGAGGTATAAATGTTTAATGAATCTAGATTCGTACATGACAGCCTGAAATAAATATTTCGCTTAATACAACTTTTTTGTCTCATAATTTATTGTAGAAATTTGCATTATTATTCAAAAAGCCAGCTTTTAAAACCCAGAGACAGCGGGTCGCATAGTTACCATGGTTTGTAAAAATTAAACTTAAACAAATGTTAATTGAAAAGTAAAATATATTGATCGCATCATAATCAAAAACTTTCCAGTTGCTGATATTTTTTCTAGCATTATTTCCAACATTGTTTGCATTTCTACATGCTTTTCCCTATCTTTGTTTCTAAAATTCAGCTAACAAGTTAACGAAGTCGTATATGCAGCCATATTTAAAGCTGGAATTAAAAACCCATCCCCGATTATAATTATAACGCTTAATGCGGCTCATCTGAGTTATTGAGAACCTCTCGCAAATGAATGTATGCCCTCAATTACTACGCTGTTAAAGAGATGAAAATCATACATTATTGATCGTCCAAAATAAACATAAATGAACGAAAAAGAGAATTCTAAGAGCCTTTTTTTATTAAAAATGAAAGGCAATAAAGAAGCAGATTTTGTTAGTATTCAACTGTGCGTGCTTTTAAGAACGTATTTATGCTGAGAAATACAAATGAATTAAATACTCCGTGCAAGTTCTTGCTGTTTAGCGACTTGCTCTTCTCGTTCAACTTTTGCCGCAATAAACCCGATTCCCTGCTTCCGCTTGCTTTTAGGAAATTGATGGTCTGGACCGAGCTCAGTATCAGTAACAGGTTTTCACGTGCGTCCGGAACTCAGTTCCAGCGTCGGTTTATGGAATATCACCTACGAGAACTTAAATATTAGCAAAATCAAACGGCAGTTTTGTGTAACGATTCTAATAATTTGTGATAAAAGGTCATTCGAAATGTTCCAATTTTTGCAGCCAGGGAAGATCAACCGAGACTTGAAATACGTAAAATCAACTCAGGCGCGTCAGTGTTTTCAAGTGGAGGTTTTCCCCAACGCAAGTGGAGTTATTCTGTGAATTCATCGGTCAAACGGTGCGTTCCATAGACCGTCATTTTAGTTCAGTAACCTTAAAAAATCTAACAACCTTTTTCTGAAACACATGACGTTTCACATTTTGATGGGTCTTATGCACATCTCTGGAGCGGCAAATCCATTTTTTTATGAAGATACTAAAATGACTAAAAGCTAATCAGGCGTTCAGGATGTTGCTCCATCGGTCTCCCCTCCAAACCTCTCCTCGCCATCTTCCTGACTTTTTTTCCCAAACGCGTCTGAGAATGAATGAATTTAAAGGGATTTTCCACCCCTAAAAGAAATTTGACGAAAACTGAAGATGGGAATTATCTATCCTCTGATCAAACTAATTCGCCCTTTATCAAACAGGTTCGACAAAGTCCAAAGAGTATCTTCACGAAAAGTATTGTCTGTGTGCAAAATCCATGCCAAGCCAAGATTTTGAGTTGGAGCTGGACTGGGACATTTTATTTTGGCACCTTTTTCTTTACGCTTTTTGCTTTGTATGATGTAAATAACCCCGTCTTTCGTTCTTTTGACAAAATATGCTGGATTTCCTTGGAACTCTACTGCTGCTGATTTTTCCTCGGCAAAAAAATCTAGAATGAAATCGGAAACTTTGAAACTGTGGTATTTATTTAAAATTTTACTGTCATTAAGTAAAATGGTAATGTCAGCTGTTTTTGCGGGGCGACGCCGCCGTTAGTAGTCCTTTTACGACAAACTTAGAGATTTTGAAGAAATTAGTTTGCTGAGTTTGAGACTACGAAGTTTTTTTTAGAGCTGTTCTCAGTCAGTTTAATTGGAAATAAAAAAAAATCCATGAAGAAATAGAGGTCAGATGTACTAAGCTGCAGACTATCAAGCAGCGGGAATTAATCCCAAGTATGTCATCAGGGGAAAAACAGAAAACATTCTCATTTAAATGTGTTATATTTACTAAAAACACCACCTGAAAAATAAGTCGCAAGAGATATTAGTCTGGCCGAGGTTCTAGAATGGTGAAAATACCGAAAAGAGAACATATTAATCAGAGAAAAACAATATCGAGACGAAAGAGCAGCAACAATGTGTAACCGCTTTTCTGAAAAAAAGGTTGACTCGTTGCCTTTGAATCTTGCCTTGTTTCTTAAGCTCTAAGTTTCTTTCTTTCTTTTTCGTTGTTTCTTTCTACAAATTATCTGTACTTAGTTTATGAATCGGGGATAATGAACTAAGACTGATACTAAATCTAAATGTAAATGAGAGGCAAAACACGCTTTTGTTTTGGTTGTCAAATTGAAGTTTTCAGTCGGGTAATAATGTGATCTATCATGAAAAGGTCACCTAGAATTTTCGGAAGCCTTTTTTCTGGCTGAAATTTTCGAAAAGGTAAGTTTTGATCGCTATAATTTTCGGATCACTAGACTTTCAGCTAGGAAATCCGAACAGATGAAAAATTTTTAGGGGATAAAAATATGCCTACATCTACCGTTTAAATACTAAAATACGTTTAACAATGCTATGTTTAAGTGGTTTTTAACTATATTCTCGTTGGGTGCCCCTGGTTTATTACAACTTCAGTGATGACGATAACATCTGTTTTGCAGACAGATCTGACTATGCGGATCGGTGTATCTTTAAGAAAACGTTTTCAAGTATTGTGCCTTCGATGTTGTGTGAAGCAAAATGACGACTCCAACTCTCATTCTTACTTAATATTGCTTTCTTCAAAGAGGAAAACGTGAGTAGAATGAAGAATGAGCTAAATTTCCAGCTGAAATATGGTTTTAAAAATATTAGGACCGGTGTACTGATTTCATAAAACAAAACGCTTTGAAATAGAAATTTACAATATTTTTCGCAATATTCTGTGAAATGTTTCTTCAAAAAAGCCGCTTCTCTTTGCTCCGATAAAAACTGTCAATTTAATTATCATTTATTTTTCAGAATCGACAATTCTGAAATTCAAAAAAACTTTTTTAAAAAAAATATGAAAAAGTAATATGAAATATGGACGCTGATAAGTTATTCAAAGACGTTTTGACTTGAAGTTAACATGGCATAATTGCAATTATAACTTTTGCGGCATAATCTTTGCCCTATGCCACCTGTTTCGCAGGCAGATATGACTATTTCATGTCTTTCATGAGGACCGGGCTGCCGTTTAGAAAGTCAATTGTTCTGATAAGCACGTTTTGTAACGTTAAACATGAGCCATATCTTCATAATCTTGATACGTAATCGTGCAGGCTGGCAGTGCAATCAATTCAAAATTCTACAGTTTATTCCAGAAGAACAGGTAAAAGATCATTTTTTTCTGAGACATTGTCAAAAATATGGCATCATTTTTGCGAATTTTCTTCTCGCAGAGTAGGCTTAGATGAAATCTGCTCAGTCGTAAAATGGCTTAATCCTTTTACCGACAATGCTCGCAAAAATTCTTCTCGAATCCGTCGAATGCTGCTTGTCACCCGAAAAATTGTCCGCCCTTCTAGCCTTATGTATTTTTACGAACATGAAAGAGGGGCCTGTGCCTAAACCCCTTTATGAATAGCAAAATTGTAATTCATGGCTCATCTTACTTCGTTCAAAATCAATCATTTGTCGAGGCGGTTTGTTTTTTCTTACGATCTTATAAGTCTTGCCTTGTATTTAATTTTTTGTTATATTGACGACAAATTTGTGTAAAACCTATCGCAGATCGAGCCACTGATTTGGTGGCCATAAAACAGATAGCCTCAAGTCCTAGTTTTATATATTTCGGTTGGGCAGACGTATATGAGAGGAGGCAAATGTAACTTAATGAATTCTGAAATCTTTACTGTACTGCGTTAAGCTTGCATGCCGACTAGGCAGACTAGATAAACATTGCTAAAACCATACGTCAAATACTGGTTAATATATATTTATGTTAAAAAAGCTTTTTTTATTTACGACATTTCTGAACGATTTATTCTAAAACACTGCAATTAATAATCTTTTCCAATTTTAATGTGCTGTTTAAACCAGTCGACAGTTTTCCTTTCGGTTCGCAGGTGCTATATGGGCAAAATACAGTCCATCCAACGGCTAGTCTGCTATACAGCCGTTTTTAGTGTCGTCACGCAACGCTCCTCCCGCGGAGGAGCGTTGCGTGACGACACTAAAAAGGCTGTGTAACAGACTATCCAACGGCAAAATCAACAGTACTTGTATTTGGGATCAATTTGATCTCCTTACAGTTGCTTTTACTCATTTCAGGATCTACATCACCCCAAAATAATGGCACCTATTTCAAACATGTCATCTCCTCAAACAGGAAAATTTCATCAGTACGAGCCTACCACAGCAAAGTGGTACTGGACGCTTCGAGTGACCATAGCCCTGTTTACGATACTTGGCAACGGGCTTTTGATAGTTCTTTTAATGACGAGACGTAAGCTACGGCGTAACCTTTCAAACCGGTTTGTCTTCTCATTGAACCTCGCGGACCTGTGCGTGGGCTTGTTTGTGACCCCACCCGAACTGCTCTGTACCCACTGGGTGAGCTGCTCTCGAGAAACGCAGCTAGCGATGTACGAGTTTTTTGTATATACGTCTGTACTGTGTCTCTGTGTAGTGACGTGGGATCGTTACAAGTCAGTGACTCGTCCTTTGACGTACCCAGTAGTCATAACTGTCAGACAGTACGTGATTCCTATTGTCTTGTGCTGGGCAGTGCCTTTTGTGGTAGCCCTTCTTCACTTCACCTACTTACTTGACGACCGCGAGAAATTTGCCTCGCCTATGAAAGTGTTTACAACAGTGGAAACCGTATTTTTCATTGCGCTTCCTTGTCTCGCACTACCACTTGCTTATCTACACATCGTCTGTATCATAAGGAGACACAAAGACCGCGAAAAACGCCAGCAAGACCAAGTTGACTACAACTACTCCTCGGCAGTGCTGAGCGACCACGATGACGCGCTCAGAGAAACCGAGTTCTCCGCTTCGAACCTGAGCACGCGTGCGCACGAGCCACCTCCAAGCGACAAGCTGAGCGTGTGTGGACCAGACTCCGATATTGAGCGCTCCACAGATAATGGCCGTTCCGTGCCACTAAAACCAAAACAGCGTCACCCAAACCATGACCGCTCCATTACTGTTCTTGGTATTGTGATCGTAGTTTTCGTTGCTTGTTGGCTTTTTGCCGCCTACCTCCATTTCGAAGAAGTTGGTGACATTTCTCATCCAGAGCCTGACACGACGATGAACTTGTCTTGGTTGCTGTTGTTGGCCCATTCAGCTATGAACCCACTTGTCTATGGGTTCGTCAAGAGAGACATTAAAAAAGAAATGGGCAAATGTCTTAGGTGCCAAAAATATTGAATAACTTAAATGGCGACACTAATTCTGTGACGTTAACATCCGAAGATTGTACTTTTCGTGACAGCTGTTCATGCAGTCAAGTCGCTTGATAAGGATTGACCCAGCCCAGTCCCTCTACGTCCGTTCTCACTCGGTCAATCCTGGACTCTACCGGAACCGTTTCCCAGACTTCGCGCGGGCAGGAGACAACGCCTAGCGACGGGGCGCAAGGAGAGACCCTCTCTCCTAACGCCATGCCTAAGGACTTGGCTGGGACTGGCCAGCACTAGGATGACATGCAAGCGTCGCGCTTGATACGTAGTAGTGCTCGGAGAAGACACTCCCTTGGAGACAGGTCTTGTTTGGGAGTTGAAATTACAGATTTTGGTCTTACTTAGGGTGTTCAGAACGAAATATCAGTATTTTTGGCCATAAAGGTATCAGTTGGGGTTGTGCGTAGAGAATTAACCATATAAAAAGACAAATGCTGTCACACTTTGTTGGAATATGGTCTCCTTTCAAGAAGGGGTAAAATAAAGCCCAGTCCCACCCAGATTAGTAACCTTTAGGGATCTAATTCTAATTTTTGAAAAATTTTCCCTGTCACTTTCACACAGGAGCAAGGGGGAATTGAATAAGAGAATTGCTTCCAGCCACAAGACCAAGCCGAAACCTTCATTTAGTCAGGTCACGGTTGTCGGGTTTTGAAAAGAGTTCTTGTAGAGTTGATGAAAAAAACCCTTTCTAGCAAGGCCAACTCTACGCAGACATTTGGTTGGAATTACATACGAACAAGGCTTAATACAAATTTATAATATACAAGCTAACACTTCAGTGACGGTTATACTCGCATCTAATTTTTTAAAGTAGCCTATAGAGTAGTAGGTTAGATCGAGATTTTTGATCAGAGAACCTCATCGACATATATCAGACCGCATTTGAGATATACAACCAACGGTTTTATAGTGAACTAGCTCAAACAACGCACTTTTGAGTACTGCATACACCTATATAGCTTGTATAAGCCCGGAGTTTTATGACTTTTATACGATAAATCAGTTGAGGTCTTAAACGTACAATCAAAGCCGTAATGTAAGTGATTTAAAGAAATAAAGAATACAGAAACCAGGATGCAAAATTTTTTGAGTCTCTAATAGTTGTCCTTGAAACTTATAATCGCATAGTGGTTTGAAATAGAAGCCTAATGGGCCCCTGTTATTGAAAAAAGCTAGGCGTAAACAAACCCTAGCCACTTATATGCGCGCGATCACAAAACAAGCTCATGTTTAAATGAGCCAATCAGATCTCGAATTGAAGGTGGGCGCAAAACAGCCGTTCGTCTCATCGGTAGTAACCTGGAACTGGCTTGTAGAGGACGCTAATGTTGCCCGGCCCCCGAGCAAGCTATTGTAGTTCCAAAAGTAGATAAATATTTAGTATTATTAAGTCGAAATATTTCTCTCTAGTTTCTGATTGATTTCTTCGGATTATTCTTATAACCTGCCGATGCTGGTGTTTGCAACTATTCCATCAATAACGTCAGACACAGATGTCAGTTAAGTAATAATTGCAAGAATATTAGGCAAGACACCGGCCGGGCCCTCGGTGGATAACACTCTCTTTGATCTGCTAATTCTTCGTATCATACTCGGCCTCATTCAAAGTGGGGCCAGATATTTTACCAAGCACAGGTGCAATCACTACCAGCGAAAAACATTTTCGCTTATCGCTATGCCTGTATGATTGTACCTCCTTAGATGTAATGAAATACGAAAGGCATAATATGCACGGCGCCGTGTTAAAGTTGCACCTACTGGAGAGCAGACCATAGGACACGTTTCAAGGACGTTTAAAGCAAGCAGATTAGATATTCGCTCCAAAACGTTGTCACAGTCGCTTAGGAAAAGTTCCAACTACGTTCTTTGTTTTCCTGGCAAAGTTTTGTTCTGTTGAATAAGTTGTTGCCAGCATGATACATTCGCTAGCAAGTAGGGTTTGAGTGCAATCTTAGTGGATATTTCTGTGGAATTTTTTAACATAACAGTCGAAAGTACTTTTCTAGTGGAGCAATTCCTCAACGAAAACAGTCATGTTCACATCCTCACCAATTTTATTAGCCTCTTTACCGAGTTAAAAGATACAAATTATTGTACAATAAAATATACTAATATGACAACGTGGGTAAACAATTTTTTTCTTTTTTAGTGTGCTATTTCCAGTCATTTTCTCTCACTAACGCGCTTGAATCAAGGAGAAAACTACGCAACAGTTTCGTTGCACCAAGACGGTCTGGCTTTCATTTATTCGCAATAGCTTCAAAACATACTGAAATGTGGGTGTTGAACAAAGCAACAACCCACTCCTCCCAGCAAACAAATTAAAGTCGCACGCCTTAATTGAATCACGTGACGTCAGGAGAATTTTGACGCCAAAATTTGCCCCGACCTAGTATACTATTTTACACAATTGGTTTTCTTAAGCAATATTTTAACGGCTAAATCTTGCCAATAAATCGCCTCTTAGAATTAAACAACCCTCCACTTGGTACATACGTAACGAAGAGGAGTAATGATTGGGGTATTTTGTTAAATATCACAATTTTAAAACTGCTGAAGACGAAATATGAACAAGCATTTGAGCATCTCGAGTCAAAGACTTTCAAACAGAACAACCGTTCCGTTCAGAAATACCATAACATAAACCAACGGAATAACCCGTAGATTATAAAATATTTTAGTCATTTTCACTGTGCTGGTTAAACCCACGTACAAATTAAGAGTTCTTAAAAATTATATATAAAAGCCCTAAAGAAAGATTCCAAGCAAAATTACATTCAACAAATAAAACCCGAAGTATATAAATACGTACAACAACCGCCACACACATTTGCACGACGCTTAAAAAAATATCTAGAACTAAATAGTTAATTAGCAACTTAACGTATACGTAGCAAAGAAAAGAAAATTTCAAAAACCTTATGAAAAAGTTTAAAAACGTTATGAATAGGACAAAAATCACATAAACTGCACGATGAAAACAGGACATTGTTAGACTCTATCGCTGACCTAGCCAAAAAATAGATCTTCACAATCACATGGTAATGTAGACGACTCTACGATTCTTTCACGAACGTCGCCTAATTCATTTAATATTCTAAATCTAACTGAAAGACGAAACACATCAACTCTTTAATACGACACAATAAACTGTCAACGAATCAAATCAAAACAATTTTTTTTCACAATCATAAAATCTATGGACACCACGTTTTAATATATAGAGATAACCTACTGATTCTTGAAAGAATAAGCGAATGCCTTCCATCAATTAAAGAGTCAATAAATACTAAAGGATACGAGTGCCACTATGTAATCGTTACTTACGTTGTCACACAACGCTTGTGAAAATTTGCGTGACATGCGTGACTATTCAAAACAATTCCTACTGCGAATAACCAGAAATTGGATTGGACGCTAGTAAATTTTTTAACTTTCAAGCCCTTTGTAAAGCCCTGGAAAGACTTAGGGCTTATTTTATAAAGCAAATATATGCTCTAACCGATCAATTATATCAAACTACAAATTTGCACTTTCTGGTCTGGTAGGTCACGAGAAATAGCAAATGCTTTCAATTCTAACTACGTAGTTCTCGAAAATTTCTCAATTCAAGAGTCCACCTACAAAACGCATTGCAAAGCCAACAGGCAAATAACACGTCTAATTGCTTTACACTTATACAAAACAATTAGCGATTACAACTCAAAGGAGTTTCCATTTTCTTGTTTTCTGTCATTCAATCAGTCCACCGCGTCAATACTTGCACATTGACAGTAACCACGAGATCTCCACGTGAAGGCGGAATATTCAAAACGTGAAAAACACGTGATCAACGCTATATTTACTTCCATCATATGAGAAATTCAAGATCTCACCGTTCATTTCCCGCTTAAACTGGACTATCTCTTCGGTGAAAGCCTTCGCCACAGGCCGACACTTTAAAAGTGCTTAGCATTTAGATCAGATTTAGCGACACGAAAAAGAAACACTTCCAGTTAGACTGGGACCTATTTAAACACACGATAAGATTATTCGATAAAAACACCTAAAACATTAAGGGTTTCATTTCACACTTGGTATTTGATTCGGCTCTACTCTATTCAGTACACAGGCCCTTGCTAATGATTATTTACACACAAAATTGCTAATTTAACAAACGCAACTGCAGTCACTCTTGCACGCGGATGTCTCCATTACAGCCAGACGTCATCTTTGACGTATCCATGACATCATCATTGTTAGTCAATGAAGACCCACACGACCCACGGAAGCTGCTAAATCCGCTGAACGCATCAAGCTCCCCGGTAATTTCACTACCTCCACTACTGCTAAAGCCAAGCCCCATGGGGGCCCCGCGGGAGATTACTTTGGGATACGGCTTCATGATACACCGGGGATCCGGAACAAGCCCCGCCTGCTGTACATCCCTGATAGCCAACTCCTGGGCGAGCTTACGATCATCCTGTTCTTGTTTTTCTCTCTGCTGTTGTTGTATAAGCTTTCTTCGCTCCTGAAGCATTCGCATATGCTCTTCTTTCTTCCTCCTCTTTATTTCGGCCTCGCTTTCTGCGCTGTCAAGAGTCAGCATAGAATCAGGAGAGTCCTAAAAAAAATTATAAAACATAAGATAAGATGACGAAAGAAAATCGTGAATTTAACTCTTAGGCCCCGTCCACAAGTATCCGGATATTTTTGAAAACGGAGAGTTTTTTTCCTCCGTTTGCGAAAAAATACGCGTCCCCACGTAGCACATTAGAGTCGTTTTCGTCCGTCCACACGAAAACGCTAAAACGACGAAATACTATAGCATCCCTCACAAAGCATGCCTATTGCTAGTAATATATGATGCATGACATCAACGAATTCGAAAACCTCTGTTGTCGTCCGTCCACAGGTAAACGAAAAGCCCAAAATTCATTTCACCTTCTTTACTAGAGAAAACTTCATCACAAAGCAAAAGAAGGAATCCGCACGCAGAAACGTGTGGCAATCAGTTCAATTCGGTCAGTTATTAGCACTTGACAAGACCTCCAACTGCACAAAGTTTATTTTCCAGTTATGCGCCACTCTCCCCAGCCTCCCCACCCCTGCTGTCATGTTCACTTACTTGGTGATCTCCAACATCACGTGTTTTTGAAGTTTCTGGCGGCGTGCAACCAGCGTGATCGTACTGCTCCTGAAGAGCTCGAGCGAACTGTTCATCTTTCTTAATCTGGTCCTCTTTCCTGATAAATCGGTACAAGCAAACAAAGTTTTTAACGGATGAAATTTAATAAGAATACGTTGGTGACACTGTTTTCACAATTTTTTCACAATCTTTAGTCAAAGCTAGGCGTATGTTTCTTTTCTCGCTCTTACTTGTTCAGGCGAATGCATAAAAAAGCAAAGAATTCAAAAAAGGGAAAGATTGTACTCTTACCTCGACCATTCATCGTAGGGAATCAATGGCGGTCCCCACAGTTTACGAACCTATTGATTGGAAAAAGTAGAAACACGATGAGTGAAGGCCAAGTAAACTTCAGAACGAAAAAGAAAACAGAGGGAGACCAAACAAATAACGAGAAAAATTATAGTGTTGGCAAATTGCCGCTTGTATATCCTGTGCTTATGAAACTTCGTACCGGGTTTAAGGAGGATTTATAAACGAAGGGGCTTATGTCCAAGGGGGATTATAACCGGAGTAGAAAAAGCGGCTGCGAAACAATGTTTAGCAGTACTGATCAAAATACATTTCGTACTTACTGCTTTTCCATTAAGCTTCAAAACGTTATGATAAACCGACGTCACTTCCTGTTTTAATACATTTGGAGGAGGGGATATTTCCGGGGGGCTTTTTGTTTGCAGGTGGATAGGCCTAAAACTGGTGGGCTTAAAAATGGGGGAAGTTTACGGTAACACTACAGTGAATTGATCTGCCAACCTCATTTCCATGCTGCCAAATAGTATCAGTAATCCCGGGAGGGGGTGGTAAGGCATTGTTGTCACTCCAGATGTCAGCCTCGCATCCATGCTGCCACCCCACAGGGGACTGTTGCCTAGGTGACAAACTAGAGTTTGATGATTGGCTTGCAGCTGGAGAGTGACTCAATGGGGAGCTACTGCTGACACCACTACTGGCGCTAGACAGGCCAGTGTCTTTCCTGGTTAAGGTGTACAAGTCCAGGATGTCGCAGTCAGCTGCTGTGTCGCTGCTTCGAGGAGAGGAAGAGTCGGGGTTCTAGCAGGCAAAAACAACGTGGTAAACAACTCATGTAAGATGAAGCCCATATGGTCAAGATTCCGGCACACACCATCTTATTGTAATTATGTGCTTTTTTGCTTTTGCATTTTAGTCAGCTACAAGAACCTACTCTGGCGTTGGCGTACGGAGCTTAAGCAACAACGAACGCGATGGCTCCGAAAACGTCACTAAAAAGTTAACTCGCGCTGCTTCCAACTTTATTGCGCTCATTCCATCTCGTTCAGTTCTTCAAATGTTGGCAATTTTTTCTGAAGTTGAATTCTGAAAGACTGTATCGAAGTTCAGGAAAAGAAAACAAAGTCGTTGTCTTTTGTTCACGTCGTAGTCGTGCACTGACGGCAAAGAAATGTACCAAAAAGCGTGATGCACGTGCAGAGTTGTTTAGCCAATCTAAAGCTATTGCTTTCTTGCCCTTCTCTTTGCTGTCGCTGTCGTCGCTGCGTAAGCTCCCTAATATTCTTGTGTTTACGTTTTATGTCGAGGCAAGAGCCATGGTGGTAGTCGAGGCTATCCCCATCAGCTTATAAGATTGCTTGGCCCATGTTTAAGCTCATGCTCGCGTCACTAGTGAGGAGCAAGCTTTAATTTACTTAGTTAATAATTACCAACCTTTTCATCGATTAAATCGCTAGGAATAAAAGGACATCTTCGCTGCATCTGCTGAAGAATTCCTCTGCCCATCACTGCATCAGGAGAATCAAAATACGGCCGTCCATAATAATCGCGCCCTGGGTAATGGTATCCCACTATTCCCTGTTGTACTGGATCATACGACAGGGCTGTTCTCCCAGGATATGCTCCGCTATAATAATCAGCTTGCGGACTAAAAAGAAACATTGAAAAAGACATATTCAGTGTGATTTTTTTACAACTGCACACCCCTAATATGGAACACGGCGACGCAGCGAGCAATATAGCCGACACGAACGCCTACATATTATTACAAAAGAAACACTCTATACATATTATGCGCTTATTTTTATACATGACATAATAACTTTAACCACATTCATTCTTTGTGCCACAAAATTTAGGACAATGAATTTGGGGATTTAAAGAACTACTGAGTATGTTTTTCAACAACATATCTTCTTGTCCCTTGAGGTGTGGAAAAAAAAACAAAGCTTTATTGGTCCAAGTAGAACTCTTACTTCCACTGCTATGAAATTCTGATTACTTTACCAACGTTATCAAAAAAAATTGGTAACCTGCGCCACAGACAAAACTAAGCCTCTAAGTTACAGTTTTTGTTCGGTCACCATTTGGCAACCAACTCTTTTGGTTTAGCGAGGTTTTTTTTACAAATCAAGTCGCCAGCTTCAAAATTTTAGGCGCCATGGCGACCAAAATGGTCGCAACTTGAATGTAAGCCAGTGCCAAAATCCTTGTTCTGAACCTCCAGCTGTGTACCAGGATTTGAGCACGTACCGTGATTGGCCTGTTAAAAAGCCATTGTTGATTTGCCAATCAGGTTGAAGGGAAATTCAAAACGCAATTCTGGTTGTTGGATCTTGGCACTGCTTTACTTACATAACCCTTTAGGTCCCAATAGTGACCAACATCAATTTTCTCCTAACAATATCCATACATTGCCAAGAAATAAAGTTATGAGAAATAATAAAATGATCACCAAAGAGAAAATGCCTTGATCATTTATCAAATTCTCTCAACTAATTCTTAAAGGAAATGTGTAGAGATCAGTTTGGAGAATTTGTATGTGGATACTGGGGCTTAAAGGGATAACTAGGCAGGGTTAGATATGTCTGTGATGCAGACTAAAACAGGGTTCATACAAAAAATTGCAACCATTTTTCAAGGACGTTCAAGGACCACATTAGATTTTCAACAACCACCTACTACGAATATAATTTCACAGACTGTACAAAAATGCACATTCCCAGTCTATTCTAATAAGACTTTAAGGTTTGAACTGTTTGCTTCACCAGCCTCTAGATTTTTCAGTTCACTTGTCTTAACTTGATAGTTAATTATTGCATAAAACATAGCGCACTTTATGTAAATAACCATTAAATTCTCTGAGCTATGATTTACATTCTGTCTTACACAAACACAAAGCATCAAAAAACACTTTCCAGGCCACTACATTCAAATTTGACGAAAATTCAAGGACTTTTCAAGGACTTGCACAGAAATTTGAGGACGTTTCAACGGAAAATGGAATTCAAGGACTTCACCAAAAATTAAAGGACTTTTAAAGATTGTGCGAGCCCTGTAAAAGATTTTTAAAGAAACTTATTCAAATATATACGTGTACACGCAATAAAAAATGTCTAAATGATTCCATACCTACAATACCCAGTGGGATCAGATGGATAACCATAAGGCTGATCATAATGTTGATAACCATTATGAGGTTGAGATCGTATGGGAGCCATGTCTCTTCTGGGTTGCGCCGCCCTGCCATTATACAAGGTGTGATGGTGGTTTACGTGACCATTTGTCATTCCATTCATAGCACTTATGCCATTCACTCCATTGATTGCTTCATCCTGAATAGTTAGCGGAGAGTTTCGTGGTGGAGTCATGACACCTACACAATTAAAAGGGAACAACATGTAGGTAATATCTTCTAATATAAAGCCTAATATTATTTATTACACCCCTTACGCCAAAATTTATGCTGCTTCAGGGCTTTGAAGCTCTGACAAGTATTCTGTTAAGAATCATGGCCTTGTAGGCCTCAACAATCAACAGAGTGCTGACAGGAATGGTCATAAACTACCACCTAAACTTTTTCTTGTCAAAATGTTTTGAAACCCTGCTGGTTAAATGTGGCTGTGGCTAAGTTAAACTCAAAACATGGCTGGCAAACTGTCAGAGATATCAGGGGTGCCCTTAACAAATCACAGGAGCTTGTAGGTCTTTTTACAGCCATTCTCTTGACGTCAGACCAAAAGGTTTAAGTGTCGCTGATTATCATGGCTAGTGCTTACAAAGTGTTTTCCATCTGCTCACTCCCCTTTACCTCTACTGTAAGTATATGGTAAGTATCTAAGGTTCCCACGGTTAGCAGTGTGATGGTGCCTGGGTGGATGCAATTCTTTGGGTTGACAAGGTTACGAATTGCACTTGCCTGCAGTTTAGGGCTCCATTAGCCTCACAGGCACCTCCCCCCCATGTTCATCTCTGTTGATGAGTTTAAAGCCACTGTCTATTACAACAAAAAGGTAAAACAGTTTTCTTACCAACTGTAACATCCTTTCCTCTAGACACGACATTGGAATATGAATTGCCAGGCGGGTAATACTGGAAATATGCACCTCTCTCACTTCCAGAAGAAGCTATATAAGACGGCTGCACATGATCATATGGCGAGCGAGGCCCCCCATAGCCATCACTCTGGTACATGTTCAGGTGCTTCATTCGCTGACTTATCATCTGAACTTGTTCCTGGCTGTCTCTGCGGGTTACTTGTGGTGGAGGACCGTAACTGGGTGTCGATTGTGACATTTCACCTGACATAGGGGAACAGAAAATATTGTGTTTAGTTTTCTACATGGAGACATAAGACAGAAGTACAGCGTAGTACTGTATGCTATTGCACTAATCTAAGGCATTCAAACACAGATAAGTCACAATTATCAATCCTTGTCTTTGAGCAGTGAATCATTGCTAAAAATATAGATTCATGCAATATAAGTCTTGTTCTTTAACTTTGATCATCATCATGAAGTAACATGTCAAATAAAACACACAAACTGTACAGAACATTAGGGCTCTTTCCATTTGTCAGAACTGGCCAGCCGGACCATTACCGGACAAGTTATTTTGACAATGAAATCGGCTTTTTCCAAGGGTTTTTGCTGAAGAACCATCTCCTTCCTACACACTATTTAGGATTTGACTGATCTAGCTGGATACTTTTGATTAATAGTGAAATTCTCATTACAAAGGAAAGCGTCTGGCTGGTCAGTTCTGACAAATGAAAAGCGCCCTTAGACTCTTCTATAAATATCTTGCTATCAACAGCAATGAGGCCCTCTTTGGAGGGTGTATGTTCTATGTCTGATTTTTAAAACCAATGGTTTCATGCAACGAAAGGAAAGCCATGTCCCGGTCAATACTGTACTATTGTACTTCCTCTTATCTTTGTGGCAGTCACAATAATCAATACCTTAACCCTTTAAGCCCTAAGAGTGATCAGTGTCAAATTTCTCCTTGTAATATCACTGCTTTATAAAACAGAGTGGTCATGAGAATTAAGGACATGATCACACAAGACGAATCCAATTGATACTTCAACAAATTCTCCCCACTACTTCTATTGAAAACGTATAGAGATAACAAATGAGAATTTCAATTTTGATATTAGGGTTTAAAGGGTTAAGTTACGAGGCATGGGTGAGCCCTTACAAAGGGAATTACATGTACAATGTATTATATTATACTGTATTTTGTACACGACACTAAATTCCTCTCCATTCATACCTGTAACATAGTGTGGAGAAGATCTGGCCACACCATTGACAGCATTGGCAGGAGCTTGGGTAACAGTTGGGCTTGTGTCACAGCCATTTTCTATGGAGCCATGAGGAGAATACTGATCAGGCCCTGCCCCAGGCCCCGATCCTCTGGGTATTGCTGTAGGGCGGGGTCCCCGAGTTCTCCTCTTGCTGAACCTAATGATACATCACGTACAGAACATGAGAGGTATATCCCTCTTCATAAAAAGAACATTGTAATCAAGTAAGGGTTCACAATTGTTGCTCAATGAAGATTATCATTTTTAAAAACCCGAAAAGGTTCAGTTATGATTGACTTTATTAAATTATGACCAGGAAAATTTTACTCTTGTGGATTGCAGTTTATTTTTAATGAGGAATCTCTGTATTTTTTATGAACTGACCTAATTACCCACATATCACTGTTCATGATACATTTACAGTGTACATGGTTTTTTTTCTTTTTTACTTCTAATTTACTAGTATGTTATATATTTCTTGCAAGAAATCTCATGCTGAAAATAATAATAACAGCATCCTTTCCACGGAAGGATACAGCTAGCAATTAAGACAACTAGAGAGAATTACCAGCCTGAAAAACCCGTATTAAGATGATTAAAATACTCACCTCTCTAACTCCTCCTCAGAGTGTGCAAATGTGCAGTGAGTTCCCCTGGGGCATCCTCCTCGTGAGTGATCTCGACACATACTGGTTTTAAATTTGTTGTTGCTGTGAGGCTAAAGAAGACAACATTGAATTCAAATGAGTCGACGCTAAATTCCACTATAAATTGCATTTAAAGTAACAATTAAGTGAACTGCATTTGTATGTGATCTACAGTGTTGGCTCAGGATCAAGCCATCACTGTCCATAACTAACCTGAGGTGGATCATTAGAGCTTCTCATTCCCTTGCCATATGCCTAGTGCACAAGGAACAACAATTACAAAGTGAGAATAGAACCCAAAAAACTGATCCACAACATAACAATACACTCTTTCATAAAAACAATCAAATAAGACTGGCACTAACCTTTGAAAACTTTACAAGTCCGTGAACAACAGAATGTACTGCAGCCATTGCGTTCTCTAATTCACTCCACTCTGGACAAGCTGCCTCTGTTATAAAAGTCAAGGAAACTGAAACATTAATGGTTAAAATTCCTAGTACACTCAGCTGTTCTAGCTAGAATGCTGGCATTCCTCTCAAAGGATCATAAAAAAATGATGGACCTGTAAGTACCAAATCCAGCAAGGGGCACGAGTGGGCCGACGCGGTCCACTGTCAATGACAAAGATTGTCAGTAGAGTGATTATCTCTACAGAATTGCATTGCTTCTGTCTTTGACAAGTACCATTTCTGAACAATCAAAACCAAATCTCCAAACTGTGACTTGTGACTAACTAACTGAAGTAACATAATTCACATCTAGTAAAACTTACAACAACGGAGCAATACAAATTACATTCTATCAATTCCCCAAAACAGAATTACTTTATTACACCTCTTATTATGCAATAAAGGCCTCACATAGCACACAAACCTGGCGAAGCATCAATCCGTGAGAGTAGATCAAACTGGTCACGCATCTGGCAAAGGTCACCTGGGTCCCCAGACCTCTGCAGAGCAATGATCAACTCCTGGATGCTCTGAGAAAAAGATGCTGGTGACTGAAGCTGAAATGTACAAAAAAAAAATATCAGATTTATCTTCAAGACACCCTGGTATGATACAAAATATCACAATAAGGAAGTGAAATATTGCTTAAAATAAAATGAATTTGATGATATATGAACTTAACTGAAAGACAAATATTCAAGGCAAATTTCTTGCACAAAAGAATTCCTTACAAGGAATCCTTACTGTATCAGTTACTTTGCTTTTTTCATAAGAAAAGGTAACCAACATGAAAGACAGTAATCATTATTGCACCTTGTCAATAATGGATTGCATGTGGGACTTGTGATCTAGGTCTCCATACAGCAATGATGACCACTGGTCTGGAAGAATACGCAGTCCTGCCTCTGTAGCAATCTGTACAATCTGTGCATCATGTTCCTTTCGCAGCGCGTCATATGTTCGGAACTATATAAAGCAAAAGAGCAAGTGAGTCAAAAATTAATTTAGATATCCCAAGCTTAATTCGTGAGGTTTCTTTTACATGTACAAATGTATACACATTCACATTGTTGAATTATTAGCATAACTTTCGAATATATCTTTCACCTTCAAACCAGGAAAAATTACTGTACCTGTTCTTTAAGCTGCATCAAAGATGATTCATTGCTCTTCTTTTCCACCTAAAACATAGTCACATGAATGCGTACATTAATTTGCTTCGTTTTTATTTACATCACAATAATATAGTTGTCAGACTATAATACAATAATCAAAGAGATTGTTTGAGGGAGATGGAAATGATTAAAGGTATTAAAATGTATTTCCAATTGTAAACAAATTCAACTAAAGACACTCAAATGTATGGAGAACGTTGATACAAACATTCACATTGCAGCACTCCGAACAGCAACTGTTTTGGTTGCAAAAGGTGAGCCAAGGACCCAATCATATCAAAAGACTCTTTAAGATTTCCAAAGATTTCTGAGCTCACTTCAAAGAGTTCCAAAAAGAAACTAAATATGCCCATACAGACTATGATTTTATTTTACTTAATAAATTTCCCAAAAATGAGTCAGTTGAAGGCTGTAACTAGAACAAACGTTTCCTCCAGGTGTAAGAAAGTGGTCCACACATAGTGTGTGATTGACCATCAGGTGTTCAAGGTACATGTATAGGAGATACAGTGCAAGAACTCACCTTAAAACATGATGCCCTGTAAAGTAACTGTACTACATGGCCAATACTTGTCTTAGAGGCTTGTGGAAACTGCGGCTCCAACTTTTGAACAACAAAAAGAACTAAAACTTTCCTAGACAGAGCTTCTCCTCCCTCAAGAGCCAATAAAATCAGTTTTAAAGCTTCCTCTTGCATTGCTGGTCCTAAAAATTGACAACCACGGTTCCTTACCGCAGCCCATAAATTTGCTGACAATTGTTGCTGATTTTGGTGCAATAAAATAAGCTCTGTAACTGTTCTTTCTCCAAGGCTTCTCGCTGCACGCATAGCCCTGGTTCGTCCATCAACTTCAGCAAGCTGACAGTTTATTAAAGTAACCAGCTTACGTTGCATTGGTCTTGTTAGTATACTGTTTCCACTTGCATTAAGAGAACCAACACAAGCACTTCCATTGCTGTTACCGTTAACTATTCCATTTGGAGCGCTGGACACAGGTTGTAAAAACAGCGCAAGTTCTTCAATAGCACGTTTGGCCGCTCGATATTGATCTGCATTCTCCCTTACACTTTCTATGGCTGGAAGTGAATCATCTGGCACTTCTACTCCAACTAACTGAAGCAGAGCATAGTTGTAAGGAAGCTTGGAAATGTCTGTGTCAACAATAGCCTGGTCAAATGGACACTGTGTTCTTGGCAGCTTTGACAAGCAGGAAATGCACATTGTGTGGCCACATCCAAGGCTGATTGGCTGTCTGGTGTGTTCGTCGAAGTCGTTGGTACATATCGGACACTGTAAAAATTCTGTCCACTGAGGGGTTTGTATCGGCATGATTGATTTCAGCTATAGCAGATTGCAGCTTAACTTAAAATAATGCTAAATACCATGGGTATCCTAAAAATACAAAGTTATAATAAGAAGACTTGCTCTCTTCATTCAGTCATGTTAGCAACAATAAAGTTCTTACATCTGTATAACACTAAATAGAACATGATTTGTAAGATTGCAAGAAATTACAGACTGAGTCATACAGTCACGTGTCAAAACTGAAAGCACTTCCAAGAAGCTGAAGAGACATGCTTCCAGGAAAAAGAGCTAGTTTGGACACTCTTCCCCCTTGGGGATCACATGAGCTGTGTAAACTGACAAGAAAATAAGAAAGTTGAAAATAACCACCCATAACAGACCATGTTTAGCTTCACTACAAATGTTCTTGGATATCTAAAATTATATATATCTAAAACTTAGAGTTCTAGTTTATAAATTCTGGCATTAAATGTGTATCCCTAATACTCTGAAGAATCTAGTAACTTATCATTCCATTCTCTCAAAACTAAAGTGTTCAAGCAACTCAGTTTGTGTTAATTTTCTCTTGAGTAGTCATCTCTCTGCTACAATTTCATATTATTTCATGTAGGTCACCATTTTATGAAATTCAATGCAAAAGTACACCCAGGTTAAACGTGAAACCATTTAAATTCCCTGCAGAATTATTGTAGCAATATCAGGATATTTTCTAGAGAGAATCTTAGAGATTCTAACTGTGTGTGTACACATTTATTTGAACAGAAGAGCTGAACTGCATCAAAGAAAAGTCAAAAACCTACATGTACCAAAAATAGAAATTCTGAATAATTAACAAAGGGCTTCCTGTTTACAAGTGATCAACTTGCATAAAAGAATTTACATAGCTTGTGATCTGCCATCTCACCAAATAAAACCATCACTGTCCCTTACACATGTGGTACAAGTTTAAACCAAAACAACAAGAAAAGACTTGAACATCAAAAACTAAAACTGTAAAAACAGCTGGTGACTGTTGGACACTGTAGCTAACTTTCCAAGAAAACTGCATGAAAAAAAGAAAAAGTAACCCTTTCGTCAAAAAATAAAAAGGCAACAACAGTCGTAAAATTCCCCTCCAATCAGATTATTCGTTTCATCTGTGACAGTCGGAAAGCGCGATCAACAATCAAATCTACATTCTACTACAACAAGTCATCCACAAAAAATGTAAACAGTTAGTTCGACATTATTTTCAGCACTTTCTCCTTCACAGGTGAGAACTTCCTTTACACTATGTAGAAAACTAAATGTTTTACTATTTTCACCATAAACCTTAGGGAATGATATTTTCAGAAACCACATATTGTTTGCTCCAGGGCTAACCTCGAGGTGTGATAGAACTTGAATCATGATATTGGAAGCAGTTAAAACTATTTTCTCATGAACACTTTATTTCTGTGCAGTGGTCCATTTAGTATGACTTGTTTCAGATTTTGTGTGAGCAATATTTTTTTCCCTCACTATGCCAAAACACAAGACTAAAAAGACTACTAAATGGATAAAAAACAGGAAAAATAATTTAGAAAAATATATTAATACTACAACATCCTGGCGACTGATCCGTGAACCCAAAAATGTTTTAACGAGATTACGCCAAAGTTTAGCAACGAAATGCTCTAACAATTTTTGGACCCCTTTGATCAACAAGAAAATGAACTTCTTTCAGTAGTTTTACAGTACAATGATCGGATCCTTGCTCGATCAATTCTTGAACAAGCTATTTCGTGACCCAAGCTGGAATTTGCATTAACAAGCACAAACCATAGCATCGAGACTTCCTGATGCATACTAAAATATTGAACTTTCTACGAAGCTTGATAAAAAAACAACAACATCGACGAACATTCTCTCTATTTTATGGCCTTCATATTAATTTCCGGTAGTTAACGTTAAGTAGACGCAAAAACAAACACCAAAGAACGAGTACAAGATTTGGAAATTCCAGTGAGTGCTTTGAATAGACCGAATAGGTCATGCGACGAACACAAAACAAAGCTCAATATGATCATTCGTACGTGCGAATTGCAGATTATCCCGAAATTATAAATCAAATATGCGGATAAAATGCGATCTGTTTAACCAGTTCTACGTAGAAAACTACCACCTGAACACTGTAAATATTTCCAGATCGTGAGATGGACATTTTCTCGCGAAATTTCTGAACAGTTGACAAGCCCAAACAAAGACTCACAACAATACGCACGAGAGAGCAACATGATTAGTTTTAAGCGCGATCCCACTATATACCGATTTATACCAAAAGCTTATGTAAAGAGATTGATTCTACAGTCTTAAGGAACGAAAAAAATACAGAAACGCTGGAAAAATTCCACGAGAACGACAGATTCAAGGCATAAAACATAGTGTCAGTTTACGTGTTTCTGCACGTTCCCACGGACTGCAAATCGATCAAAAAGCAGCATTCCGCGCCAATAAACTCACCTTAAACAAATACAAAATCACTATCCAACACTGGAAAATACTTGTGTGCACAATAAATGTCGTCAGCAATTAACTAGGCTTTTCCAGAAAGCAGGAACGTTACGATGAATCGCAGTTAAACAGTACCAAAGCGGTCGATTATCCTCGCAAGCTGAGGAAGTCAAGTTTCGTTTCCAACACGGAAAGAGGAATTTAAGCTTTAGACACACAAAAGATGTCGTTAACGGGTCCTAAAACACTCCCAAAGGAAGTATGGTGAAAGTATTAACTCTAGTGAATGAGCTGAGCTCCTCGCATTTGAAAATACCTATTCGAGTCGACGTATTTCACGACGATATTCAGCAGCTTCGTCAGTTTCATGATTGAAATATACGCCATGACCGGATAAAGCAACTGACGGTATCTCCCCCTGGGGATAACGTCATCCTTCTACGCCTGCGCTCTAACTCTTACCGGAAGCAAAAATGCCCTTTTAGCAATATCATTGGTTGATTGCACTCACAAAGGAGCAAAAATCTACTATTCTCTGGGGTGGGCGAGGGGTGACGAATAACTATCTCTTTGTTTCTCGAAAGATCAGCTGTAATCTCGTTAGCATTACATCTTACGAGGTGTTTGAGTTTCCTTTTACAATTGAGCGCTTTTTAGTAGCAAGCCTGTTTGACAAAATGCCCTCTTTTGTTATATTCCCTTCTTTTCGGACTTTGACTCTTTCTCAAAAGTGAACTTTAAAACCTGCTTTTGATGCATGAATAATTCTTATTGGATACAGGCCCAGACTTGTCTTTGCTGTCGCAGTAGCGGTTGTAATTTACATTGTTTGTTGCTAGCTTTTGGATCAATATTTACCACTGAAATGTTTTCATCCAAGCTATGTCAGCTACAATCGTAGCATTCTTCACTGCCATTGATCTAGAGATGCGTGGAAATATAAACAATTAAATACGATTCCAAACATTCACAAAAATATTTGAGCACAAATTTCGGTCCTATCCTAATTCACAACCTGGCCTGGCGCAAATTAAAACCATAGATACGTTTCAAATTTGCTTTCCTATAAAGCCAAAGTAATACAGATTTCAAAATATGAAAATGCAAATAAAGCATATTTATTCTTCAAAAAATACAGACAAAATCTGCTGATTCACATCTCCGACGCGCTGTTCCGATTTCACACAACAGGAAATGGTTTATGTGACACACCGGAAGTGTATGAAACAGCGGAGCTATTCTACGTTGATAACTATTTCAAAATGAATATTATTACTTATTCAAATACTGGTCTGTAGTCCAAAATAGGCTGAAACATATGATGCAGGGAAACGTGAAATATTAATTCCGGTCTCTAAATCGAAGACATTGTTCGCCCTAAATATAATGCTGAGGAAATCTGAAGGGACTTGTCTTTTGGGCCCACGCACGCTGAAACTGACAACGAAACATACTTCCGCAAGTTAACGAACCGTAATAAACAGACTGCCGATTTGTTCTTAATTTTAAGTTGGAAGTTTAGTAAACTGTAGGCTTCATGCCCCGCCCGAAATTGCGACTGTTGTTTATGAGATCGCAGGTCGTTCAACAGGTATCTTGAGGTCGAAAATTTCTTATGCCATGGTTCATATGTAGTTATATAGGAGTAAACAAGTCATCGCCGTGTAGCAAGAGTCCAACAAATGCATCGAGCGAACTTTTGCTAAGAAATACTTCTCTTTCTGGCTTCTTCGAGAGAAAGTGTTCCTTTCATTTCACTCCAGAAAAGCGCACGTGTGTTTGGGTAGTGTATTTAGAAAGGGCATGCAACAGGTGGTATTGAAAGAAATACATACGGCATGAAAAACGAGCCTTAGTGTCTGTTTAAAGCCTTGTCTGTTTAATAAGTGAAACAGTTTTTCAAAAAGAACGAGCTAAGCTCTAAAACAGCTTATAATAAATTGCATAAAGCGACTAAATTAAGTACATTTACTCTGAAAGTATTTGCTCGAAAGTGAGCTGCATCGGTGTTCCTAATATTCCAAAACAAAAGGCAAACTTCTCACAATGTGATGTGATAGATGTGTGTTCATATAGAATTTTTTAAAATTTCGCTCGGACTTACAGTAAATTCTACCGAAAATCCACAAATATACAGAAAAGTTCGATTTTTTTGTTAGAATCCACAGAAGGCCAGAATTAAAATTGTGTATACGTTCTAATAGCTTAACTCACCTTAAAACCTGGCTCCAAATTCACCCACCTAGGACAAATTCTCGTTTTGGTCCGGTTGGAATCTTCACCCTCGCAGCTGAGGGCTTTTCTCGACGCTTGCGGAAACTTATGGCTCACACACCCTGGTTGCAAGCGGGGAAAACAAAAAAAAAACACTTATAAAAAACAATTACGCCATAAAACTTGAGGCAAATTGTTGACTGGTGTTTGTTCTCACATGCGCCAGATTAAGGCGTGGCAATTTGTTTACGGCGAGTCGTCGTGTCACAGTAAAATATAGGCTGCATGTGAGATGTTTGAAGCTGTTTTCGTAACTTAAACTGTAAAAATTGGAAGCTATGAGGAAAATATGAACGGTCGCCTGTCACCTGTCTGTACAGTATTAATTTGGAGCAAGTTAATGGGGTTTTGTGAAAAGGGGGATGGTTTTCGCACGTTCTTTTCATGACAATGAAATTGTTATTGTCAATGTGATTCTGGTTCTCACCAGTTTCAACCGTGCAGGCATCGGAGGGGTAAGCGTGGGGGGTGGGGAACGCAGGATTTTAGAAAGCATAACCGTTTTGTTGTTTGAAAGTACGAAAATGTTGCGTAGTATGGTCTAACATTGTTCAAAAGTAACACGACTTTGTTAAGTAACTCCACATTATATAGTTCTAAGTTGAATCAGCGATAGGCCTAGTGCAAAGAGAACTATATATTTCAGTATGTTCACGTCAGAGTTTCATCATTACTCCCACAAAAGAATTCCGGAATCTTTGCTCCCCCGGGTTCGCGGACAAGACAATAGTTTGTTTATTTTGAAGATGTGAGTTCCGCAGTAGTCTGCCAGCACGCAATGAAACAGGTGTGGTCTGGGAAAGCGAAACTAAATAGACGTTTACAACATATATATAAATGGATAGCAATTTAAGGTGCTCTGCATACCATTATTTGTATTCTGGGTCTTATCCTGACTAGCAATGAGACATAGGATGTAGGACTTTCATTTTGAACACCAAAAAAGAACAAATTTACAGAAAACAACATTTTATGTTATCATGATCCTAAATAATAGGTGAAAGTCATTAGTTTACCTATTTCTGTTTTAACGTGTCTAGCCAAACTAGAACCTGTCAAAAAGCCATAATATGTATAGTCCTTTAATTCAACACTCTTTTGGTAATTTATTCTTGCGAAATTTGCGCAGTCGACAAACGTGTGCTCGAAGGTGCTACCTGACATGTTCTCAATCATGGCATATGATTTTTAGTAGCTGAATATTAGCATGAATACAGATACAAATTCTTAGCCCGTTTTCAGCTAATCTGGGATTAAAATTTTAATCCACAATTGTGTACATCCTCCCATTGTTTAGCGGATGATTTTGTGTTAATCACTGATGACTGCATCACATCTAGCAGGAGTAAAAGCTCAATACACATTTCAGTTAAGTTCCTAGTTAAGAAAAATTGGATTTGAATTTGAATTCACCACTTCACCGTGGGTAAAACTGACTTAACAAACGATATTTCGAACTGACTTGGACTATATTAGTTTAAAATGGTGCATGTTTCTAACGTATTATAAACTAAACATAACAAAATGAAAAGTCACTTTCGTTTGGTGACCCGTCAGTTTGCTGTCAGTCTATATTTACAAAAAGCGCGCATCTTGAAACTTGGTTAGGAAGAGACTGTTCTCCCACGGATAACTCCTACAGTAAGTGTTAAATTAATTTGTTTTTAATGTGAAGTATATATGAAATAATTCATTCATAATTTGTTTTTGTTAATATGAACGATTAACAAGCGATAAGATTCCGGTTATGAACTGAAATTCTGAATGTCAAAACGGTTGTTTGACGCCAAATTCATATGGAAAAGGTTACATTTTGTCCTCTGCATATTAAACAAGAACAAGCGCAGAGTAACTTGTTTAGCAGGTTTGAAACAAGGAATTGTATTTGGAATCAACTGCGGTATTACGCGATGTGTACACCTGCAGAATTCTGAGGATGTCTGCTTCAATTTTTTGCATAAGTGACAAAATAATTATAACTGAATACAAGTGGAGCTATAGCTGTCGGCAACAGTAGCAACAGGTTCTGTCTTGTGTTTCAGAAAGCGTATCCCGGTAATTAACAATTTGCATAAACAAAACCGTGATCAACGAAAATAAACATTGAAAATGCGCCCGGGTACCTCAGTATATGCTGTACGTTTGACAAAAGGGGCAAAAAGCCTTTATAAATGACAGCGGAGAACTGGTGAAACGACCAGCCCTTATCGTGACTGTAACTCTCAGTCGATCAGTTTTTAGTTGCCCTTCTGGAATCAATAAAAAAACACTTTTTGCTTCAGTCAACATGTTCTACGGTGTTAGTTCTTCTTTCTTCTAGTTTTCTACATTTCCACTTACTTAATCCTAAACGTACAAAAAACTTGAGATGTTTTCAGAACTGTCCGCCATGTTTAAGCACAAAAAGAGAAACTGCCTTCGCTTCGTCAAGTGTAATGTACAAAGTGCGTCAGGTATTGTCAAAGACCAATCTGTCAAAATGTGTGCAGAGCACGGTTTGTTTTGCTACAGCGCGGGCGGGCAAGATAAAGCGTACTCGAGCAGACAAAAAAAACGCCAAAAAAGAACTCAGTGACCGATATTCAGTCATCTTGATTGACCTCACGCTTGCTCGATAACGCATACCTTTATGTCCGTTATATAATTGTATGCAGACCATATTGTTGCATTTTGCACTGAGGAGCACTTCAGCCCTAAGAAAAAGTACTGAAAGACTATTTAGGGTAACAAAGATTGGTTTAATGGCATGTCCAGTTATTTTTAGAAAGGACTTCGGACGGCCTACTGAATGAGTTTGTAAAGCTAAAAAGACTGCATGCTTAGAATAAAGTATGAACTTACGAAGTATCCTAACCTTAGACGGAGTTAAGTATTTTTTGCCAGTCAGTAAAAAATACACGTTCAGTTTTGATAACAGTGTACAGAGTACCAGCCAAAATACTTTATGCGGAGTGATCTTATCCGGATCTTTGATAAAGACAAAAGTAAGCTGTGCAATTGTGGGAGTAAAATAGAAAAAATAGTTCGATAGTAAATCGAACGGTTTTCAACAAGGTCGCTTAATGCAGTCTCTTTTCATTTTATAGTTTCACTATAGAAACTAGTGTTTCTAAGGGATCTGTTTGGCCAGAAATCTAGTTTGACTCGTTATAAACAGTCATATCATCCCATCCCAATCCCATCCGTAACTAGCCTTGACATCACAAAGCAAAAATTATGAGGGGCA